ATAATTCTAAGCTTTAAAAGATAATCTTATATTTATAGAATAAAGATCTAGAAATATAACAGTAAAAAACTGCTGTTCAGTAAAGATAACTAGACTAGAAGTACTAGATAATTAAAATTATAGATTATTTATATTTTAAAAACTGTTATTATATTCTATCCTCTGAGATATTATATTAAATACTTATTTATTTATATTATAATAATCTGTTAGCAGGATACTTCAGAAAAATATAAATAGAAGTACTTCTATAAAAAAAATTTTATTAGAATAGATTATATTATAATATAGCTGAATATATCTAAATTTATTTAATATATTAAGATAATATTATTCTAAAGTATTAATTATATAGTAGTCTTAAATTACTATTAATTCTATCCTGTTTATTTACTAAATTAGTAATAGATTTTATTACAGGACTATCTCCGGTTATCTAATATAAAAAAACTATTAATACTATTCTTATTATTATTAATTAATTCTTAAAATATTATTTTTTTTTTACTATTCTATCTATAATAACTACTCCAGACCTTGCTGAACTGTTCTATAAATAAATTAAACTTATCTTCAGATCTCTAACAGGTATTATATCTGATTAAGGATTAATCTTTATAAATAAATTCTAATTAAATTTAGTCTATAATATCTATATAATCTTAAAGCTTTTAACAGTATTTTACTCTTAAACTGATTGCTAAACAGAACAGATAAACTAAATCTTTAAGTATTATCTTTAATACTACTCCAGCTAATTCGATACTAACTAGCCGGTAATACTAATTACTTAATTTACTTATAATAATATAAATAACGCAACTACAGACTTATTACCTTATAATATCTTATATAGCTATTCACCAGACTTTTATCTTAGAATCAAGAATAATTCTTAACAGCAAGAGGTCCCAGCCGTACAGGATAGGATTAAGAAGCTTAGAAAAATAAGAGAATAGCTATAAAAGATATAGTAAATAATTATAAAAAAATAAAAAAAATACTATAATAAGTGCAGAAGACTATTCTCTTTTAAAAAAAAAAATTTAGTAAAGCTATTAATCCAGAACTTACAGTTTAAAGAGTTAAGAAAATTAGCTCTGAAGTTTATAGAACTTTTTCAGATTCTTAAATATATCAGATTCTAAGTATATTATTTATATTTATTTAAGAAATATAGATAAATTTATAATATATTCTATATTTTTTTATTAGAACTGTAAAATACTAGAAGAGATTATAAAAAACTACTCCTAATACCGGAGCTAGATAATAAAGATAAATAGGAAGTTAAGGAAGTTAAAGACTACTAATATTATAATAGTTAAGACTACTATCTGATTAAATAGAAAGAATAGCTAAGTAAATATAATTAATAAATCTCTAGTAAAAATATAATAAATATATAAGAAAGTATTAGAAATTACCAGAGAATATATTAGAAGCTACAACAGCTGAAAAAAATCTAGTAAAATACTACTGGATAGTCTATAGAAGTATATCCAGCTGTTAATAATAAACTAGTTAGATAATATTTTACTAATATACTAATAAATATATTTTAAATATTATTATAAGATAACAGGTTATATCTATATATATTAATAATTATAATCTACTGCTATTCAGTACTAATTCAGCTATAAATCAGATATAAGCTATTTTTACAGATCCCTGCTATTCCGAATCAGAAATATATAAGATTATCTCTAATACTCAAGCCAGGTAGCTCGTCCCAGTAAAGGAGGGTGCTATTTATAATAGAATAGTCTAGCTATTATAATAACAGTCCTTAGAATAATATATTATAGTAGTAATAGAAGTTGTAAGATTATTAATAGTAGTTCTATATCCTCTTAATATCTAAAAGATGCTGATTCCTTTACAGGAGACTACTGATCCCTTAAGAATCAGTCTATTTTATAGATATAGGCTACCTTTATTATTATTAGACGAATCCATTGCGTTTAGTGGTTGATTCCTTACCTAGTCGACAGGCTTTCTACCCTGACAAGTAGATCCTATCACAGTTTTATATCTAATTAAACTTCTTATTTTTTTTAGTTAATTTAATAAGTAATTATATAATATTAGAAAAGTTTTAAATAAATTTTTAATAAAAATTAATAAAATTTAAAAATTTTTATATTTTTTTTATTATTTAAAAAGTCTTTTATTTCTATATTATTTAAATTTTTTTAGAATTTATTATTATTTTTTTATCTATTTATATAATATATTCTAGATATTTTATTTCTTAATATTTAAACTTATATTTTAATATATTAAAATATAGACTTATTTCTTATAATTTAGTAAATATTTTTTATATATTTTTTTTATATTATATAATAAAATTATTAGTAAAAATAAAAATATTATTAATATAAATAAAGCAGAATTTATTAAAATATTTTTATAAAATTTAATTAATATATTTCTGGAAGATACTTAAAATATTTACTAGATTAAAAAAAATTATTAACTATTTATAAAATTTATATTTTATATAAAAAATTATTATTTATTTTTATTTTTTTATAATTTGAATTTTATAAAAAACAGCTGATATATTAAATTTAATAAATTATTTTATTTTATTAATCTGTATAAGAATCTTCTAGATTAAAAAAAAAATATTTATTTTTTTTATTATTATATTTAAAGCCTGGTAATTAATATAAAATTATAGTTTTTTTTCTAATTTTTATATAAAAAAGATAAAGATAGCTGTTAAAAAATAATTTATTTAAATAAAATTCTTATTAAATAGATTTATAAAAGTTTTTTATAATATAATTAATTTTTTTTAAATTATATTATATAATAGTCTTCAGAAAATAAATAGTTTTTATTTATTTTATTATATAAATTTAATTTTATAATCTATTTTTTTTTTAATAAAAAAATAATTTCTTTATTTAATTCTATTTAAATAAATATAGAAAATCCTGATACTATTCTAGTAATTTTATATAAAAATTAATTTTTTTTTTTAATATTAAAATTTTTTAAATATTATTTATTATAATAGTAAAAACTTATATATTATTTTTTCTTTTTATATAATAAATATAAGCTTTTATTATAATTATTAAAATATTTTTAATTTTCAGATTTAAAAAAATTTATTTTTTTTTATTTTATATTCTAGCTTTTATTATATAAAAATATAATTTTTTTTATTTTAATTTAAAATAAGTATTATTATAGTAAAGCCAGGGAAGTTCTAGAATTAGATTATAATTTAAATAATTTTTAAAAATATAAAAAAATATCTATTTTTCTGAATATATTTTTATATTAAATTTTATTTATATAATATAAATAATCTATATTTTTTCTCTAATTACTTCTTTTACTGGTTTTAATAGTATAAATATTTTCTAGAATTAGTATTATTATATAAAATATAATTCTAAATAAAATATTTATTTTTATTATATTAAATATAAATATTTTTCTATCTATATATCTATAATTTATTAAAAAAGATTTATTTTACTTTTTTTTTTTTATTAATTTTTTTTATCTTTATATAAAGAACTGCTATCTAAGTCTAGAATATTATTATTTAATTAATAATTATTTTTTAATTTATATTATTAAGATTTTTTTTATTCTTATTCAGAAATAAAACAGAAACTGTTATTATATAATTTATTTTTTTTTTAATTTAAATTAGATATTTTATATTATATTTAATTTCTAAAACTTATTTATAGTATTTTTTATATAATTAGATATAAGATACTTCTATTATTATTTTAAATAAGTTTAGATTTATTATTATTTTAATTAATATTTTTTTTTATTTATTATTTTATAGTATATCTTCTATATTTATAAAAATCTGATTAAATTTATTTAAAAATTTATAAAAAATTCTCTTTTTTTATTTTATTATATTAATTTATATAAAAACTTTTTTTTTATAATTAAAATTAAAATATATAAAATCTAGCTGGTTATAAAACTTAAAAAAAATTAAAAATTAATTATTTTTTTATTATATAATAATCTAGAAAAAAAGATATTAACTAGTTTTTTTTTAAATTTACTATAAATATATAAAATTTTTATATTTTTAAAAAAAAAAATATTTTTTTTAATCAGAAATTTTATATAAAAATTAATAAAAAAAAATAATATTTATATAAATTTTCTCTATTAAATAAAGTAGGATCCGGATATTATAAATAATAGATTAAGATTAGTAGTACTGTAGTAAAAACTAATTAGATTATATAAAACTTATAAAATTAAATTTATAGATTTATTATCTAATTTATTAGTTTTTATATATATTTATAATTATTTATTTTAATTATTATTTTTTTTTCTGAGAATATCTCTGTAAGAGTTTAATAAAAAAAAATAATTCTTAATATAAAAAAAATCTTTAGATTTATATAATTAATAGAAATATTTATAAATAAAAAAAAATTATTAAAAAAGAAATCTTTATATTATTAAAAAAATAATCTTTTATCTGTTAGTTTACTATTCTTTTATATAAGGAGTAAAATCAGAGTAAGATATTAGCTGAGCCATTTCTTTAGGGCCAGGAGCTTCCCGCCTGAACCTGTAACAATTATCTAGAATATTTTCTTATTATTTAAATATTAATTTTAAATTATAAATATTATTTGGTATTTCTATAACAGTCTAGGCTAGTAATAAAATAATATTAATAATAGAAAAGAATAAAATAGAAAAAAAAATATAAGAAAAAAAAAATATAAAAAAAAAATAAAAATAAAAATTTTTTTAATAAAAATCTATTACTGCTGTGCAACCTCACCACAACAGGTGTTACTAACCCCCTCAGGCCACTATGAACCTAACATAGGCATCTAAACAGTGCACGCTCACAAAAACCACCCAAATCCCTCCCTTCGTCCCCTCCCCAAATCCTTAACCCCCAACCACCACCCCAGTTACCCTCCCCCCGCTAACTCCTGCTCATGTAGTCACAAACCGACCCAAGTCTCCATCACGGGGCAATGGCGCATCTGGGAGCGCGTCAGACTGAAGTTCCAACTTTAGCCACTGGATTCGTCTTGCGGGATGTTTCTGTAATCTGAAGGTGGCCGGTTCAAGCCCGGCTTGCCCCATTCATTCTTTTTTTCTTTTCTTTTTTTTTTTTTGAGCTTAGGAGGGTTGGAGGAGGGTGGGTTTTGGTTTGGTTTGGTGGGTGGAGTGGGTGATGGGGTGGGGCTTGCTGGGTGGCACTACCAGTGGTGGTTGGTGGGTGTAGGGGGAGTGCAGGTGAGAGAGGGAGGGAGGGTTTTGAATGTCGGGACCATTTTTGGGTCGCTGGGTGGGGAGGGAGAAAGTGTTTGATTGATTGTCTGTCGATGATTATGGGGATGGTGAGTGACACTGGCACTGACAGTCTGATTGACATACGGTATGACAGGCTCGCACAGACACTGACTCGTAAGTAGGTAGGGAGGGGATTTATTTTATCTATGCTGTCTTGTGGATGGAGGTTGGGGTTCGGTTAGTAGTCGAGAAGGTGGTAGGTAGGTAGGTATATTGCACGAGAGCCCCATATATGCGGAGTCAACTCCAAGGCACACAACACAGGGTCGCATATACAGGTCTTCTACCGCATTCATCCATGAAATAATTATTTTGTTTGCCATAGTAGGTAGTATGTACATGGTTTATCGACACTAGACCCCCTCCACCCGATCACTCACACTGACCCGCACCGTATTCTGCACATGAATCGCCCGCGAGTCCTCATCCACCCACAGCGCCTCTTCGCTCTCGCCGTCGCTGCGCGCGTACACATCGCTCGGATAGATCTCCGATCTCTGGTACGGGTGCTTTCCCTGAAACAGATGGCTCTCCTTTGGCGACACGGTGTGTAGCTGTAGATCGTGCGATCCGCTGTGGCTCTCCGCGTGCGAGCTGCCCTTGTGCGTGCTGCCTGCCACGGCCCCGACGAGGCCTTTCAGTGCGGGGAGCGAGAGCGCGATGATCGCCGTGCTGACTTCCGTGTCCGACCACACCATCACCACGGAGAAGTACCAGGTCGCGTCGGCTTGTTTGATCGCGGGGATCATGGCCACGATGCGGCAGACCGAGGTCCTGGGTTTCGTTAGAGCGAGCTTGGACTTTGGGTCGGATATGGTTATGGGCACGGGGGAGGTAGGGAGGGGGGAATAATGGCGACGACGGGAAGGTGTTGAAATACGGGCATGTCACCAAGTAGATAGCTGCAACTTACATCACGGCACTGCGATAATTAGCACAGCTACTTAAACAGCACATCCAAACAGCCGACTTACAAAACACCAAAACACAACACCACACTCAACGCCACCTTCCGCGCCGGGTTCGCGTGGATCGAAAACACGATCTTCAGCGGCAGCAGCAAGATGATCGAGTCGCAGATAATCGTCATGGCAGCAGTCGAGATGAACACCGTCTTCGAGCCCATACACGTCCCGTCGGCGCCGCCCCACAGCGCAGCCAGCGGGATGCATTGCAGCGCAATGATGAGCACCTGGGCGACCAGCACGGCCGTGACGAACGCAAACGACACGCGCAGATACACCTGGAACTGCGGCATCGGGTTCAGACGCCAGTAGAAGGCCAGCCCCGAGATGCGACACATCCACAGCGCGATCATGTAGACCAGCTGCGCGGCCACCAGCCACTTGTACAGCATCGGAGCCTGGGCCGGGTCGATGGCCCAGATGTGCAGGCCCGCGCCGTACCGCAGGACCTGGAGCGAGAGCGCCATCACGACGATGTTCATCAACTGGCCCCTGTTAGTCGGTTCGCCCGGTATCAATCGCATCGACTCACCATTGCAACACAGATCAGGCCATCGTCCCACCCAAAGCTCCGGATCAGACACCCGCGCGCGTAGGCCCGCACCAGCACGACCAGCGCCGACAGCGCCGTCACGACCGTTATCCCGATGCGCGCCTGCGGGCGCCGGTCTTCCGCCAGGAATGCGGGCGTTAGCTGCGGAGTGCTCGCCGACATTGATGGTTGAAACAGCTACATGGGAAGAATGAAGAATGAAGAATGAACAGAGGATGAAGATGAAAATCAGGTACTGTTGATGTTGGAAGACATCGTCTGTTTAGCGAGTCCCCTGCAGGATGCACCCTTGCAAGTTGCAAGGGATAGCGCTGGCGACTCTCAATTCTCGGGTGCCGCTGATCAGCGCGGAGGAACTTAAATTCAGGGCTATCGCTGCCAATCGCGGGTCTTCACGCGGTCGGAGAAGTCTGGCTGCCCCTGGAGCATGTGCTATTGGAGGGCCGTACGTCATGGACTTCCTTCGTCCATTGGGTCACGACCAAAACCTGCAGCGTCGAAAGTCCGAGACTGACAGGACTGGCACGCGGGCTAACCTGCACGCTATTGGCATCAAGGGACGGGGATTGGCACATGTGAAATGAACCGCGCCTCGCTTTGCTGGTCGGATCCGCTTCATCTCCGGCGGTTCTCGATTGGCTTGTGGAAACTCGCCCGCACCTATCTAGTAGCAAGTGCGGGGGGACAATGGCATCATGGCCTGCCTAGATGGAGTGCAGCGTCTCGAGCCTCCTCCTTCTTTGCCGGTAGGAAGATACATGCCAGACTTAGCGTGCCGAGCTGCCATCGATTCTGAGTTCTGACCACGTTGGGCCGATCGCGGCCAAACGTCCCGTGTCGGTTCAGACTCCCTGACTCAGGCCTCACTCGATGATGCTATCCGGACGGCACGGGCACTAAAGCCACTACTCGCCCGGGCCCCATTCCGCGGTCGGCTCGATACGGATAAATAGGACGGCATGCAAGGGAGCGATTTCTAATGCAAATCCCATTCTTGAGGCAACATGCCTGTCACTCTGTCGGCCCTGCTGCCTTGGATCCGGGCGGACCTGCGGGTCTCCCTGCCTCTCCTGCTGCTTGCGATCGTCACGGCCATTGCTCTCAAGCGCCGCTACGCAACCTCCATCCGCGATCTTCCGGGTCCCTGGCTGGCGTCGGTGTCCAGCCTGTGGCAGGTCTACCAGCTCATCAAAGGCCACACTGAGCAGGAGATCGTCCGCCTCCATCGCAAACATGGTCCGTGCGCTGCTGCCATCCTCGTGCTCTGCTAACCGTCGCAGGCGACTTCGTGCGCATCGCCGACAACGAAGTCAGCGTCGCCCATCCTGATGCCGTGCGGGCGTTGCTCCATGCCAACATTCCCAAGGTAGGTGGCTGCCGCCTACCACGTGAATCTAGCTGACCGGCCAGGGCTCGTGGTATTCGATCTTCAGCCTGCCCGACTATCACTATGTCAACCAGATGTCGGAGCGGGATCCCCAGCGGCACATCCGCAAGTCGCGCAATGTGGCGTCCGGCTATGCCCTGTCGAACATCATCAAGTCCGAGCCCCAGGTCGATGCCCTGCTCACCCTGCTCGAAGACCAGTTCGACCAGCTGATCGCGGCGGGCCAGCCGGTCGAGTTCGACCGCTGGTTCAACTACTTCGCGTTCGACGTGGTCGGCGAGGTGACCTTCTCCAGCCCGTTCCGCTTCCTCGAGACGGGCACAGATATCCGCAATGCCATCGCCAACACGCGCGCCCTGGCCCTGTACATCGCCATCATGGGGCACTATGTCTGGCTGCACAATCTGACCCTAGGCAACCCGCTGCTCAGCCGGCTGGGCTTGCAGCCCTCCTCGCACATCTTTGATACCTGTCTGGCGGCCCTGGACCAGCGAAAGAAAAACTCGGCTGTGCGTCTGGACATGATGGAGCGCTGGCTCCACGTGCGGCGCGAGTATCCCGATCGCATGGACGAGGCGGAGGTCTTCGGGGCCGCCGTGGCCAACATTGGCGCCGGCGCGGACACTACTAGTGCCACTCTGCAAGCCTTCTTCTATTATCTGCTGCGCAATCCACAGTATCTGCATCGGGTCCGACAGGAAGTTGACGAGGCACACGCCCGTGGGGAGTTGTCGCCGGTCGTTTCGTACGCGGAGGCCGCCAAACTGCCCTATCTGCAAGCCTGCGTGAGTGATGTGATATGACTCTCTAATGGATTGGTGGCTGATGACAGCAGATCAAAGAAACGTATCGTTACCACGCCGCGACAGGGACCGGACTGCCGCGAGTGGTGCCGGAGGGGGGACTGACCCTCGGTGGGCGGCATTTCACCGAAGGGGTACGTATTTCACCGATTTATGGTGCGTAAGCTAACGGGACAGACCGTGTTGAGCATCAACCCGTGGGTATTTCACCGCAACCCAGCGCTGTTCGGGGCGGATTGCGACGAATTTAACCCGGAGCGGTGGCTGGATGCCGAGCGAGCCAAGCAGATGGACCCTTTCTTGATTCACGTACGTGACTGACTGACTCTGGTGCCATCTTGAATGTGTAATGCTGACAGCCCAGTGGGGCGGGGGATACAACCAGTGCCCCGGGCGCAACCTGGCGCACTTCGAGGTGGCCAAGGTCAGCGCGACGCTCCTGCGCGACTTCGACATCGAGGCGGTCGATCCGAAGCAGCCGTGGCGGTTTGAGACGCACTTCACCGCGGTGCCGTATGGCTGGCCGTGCTGGGTGCGGAGACGGTAGTCTCAGCATAGAATAGGATGAGGATGGGATGAAACGAGACGAGAATGGGGTGGTCAGATGAAGAGGATGAGATAAATATGAGAGGATGGGGATGGGGGATGTAGATGGATATGGCGAGTGGAGAGAGTGGAGCAGCGGGCCGGTGATGAAACACTAAAAACACCCAAACTTCAACAATTGGGGCTGTGGTTTAGTGGTATAATATTCCCTTAGCATGGGAGAGGTCCGGGGTTCGATTCCCCGCAGCTCCATTACTTTTTGCTTTTTGTTTTTGCTCATCGCATCTCGACATGAGGTTTGTGGTGATGGGGATGGCATCGCATCCTCGTTTCTGCGCAGTGCAGTGCCGTGCGACACTGGCCCGATAATCCCCCGGGTCCCTGCGCAGTCCTCGATCCCTGTCGCTGCATTTCTCCACCAATCATATCTCCATCCCCAGGTATAACATGCGGCCCTGGCTCGATGCATCGCTCCTGCAGTAGATTATCCCCGCACAAAGAACAACCATGTATACCAACCCCATCCTCCCCGGCT